GAGCAGGGAGCCTGATGCGCAGCTCGATCCCAGGACTCTGGGATCATGACCTGAGCCGAAGGCAGACGCTTAACGGCTGAGCCACCCAGGCACCCCAAGTTCTCAATATCTTAAATTATGCCTATACTAGTTTCTTTTGCACTCTCTCACCCTTAATGCTTCGCATGCCTTTTTCCCCACCAAGTTTAATCTTTGTTTCTCTGTTTTCTCTATGTCTACTGAAGATGGCATGGGGAATTACAGGGTGGAATTACAGGGAGGAATTAAGCTGGCAATTTGTAGTTCCCCACATATATTGGGATGGAAAAAAGTTGAGAATTACTGTTCACCACTCCCTATGGAGTATTCATTTATTCTCACACTTATGGCAAGTAAGCTACCATACTTACATCTATTCAGTAACTCCCCTATTCAATTTTTCTCTATAATTTGACCTCTTCCCAGAGACCCACTCCATGCTTCCAGAGGCATGATGAATATTTATGTCATCATGTCCCACTATCAGACATTTCCAACCTGACACAACCAAACTTTGACATCTCCCACCTAAAACATATTCTCTATCTTTTGAATGACCCAATTAATCTCCATTACCCAGAGTAGAAAAGGTGGGGATGGTCTCCTTCATTTCCTATGTCCAGTTAGTGATCAGTTCATCATTTAGGCTGCAACATTATCTTCATCAAAGAAAAGGGGCAGAGAATTCCCCATCCAAAAGGCTTATCCTCATCCATTCTTCCTGCTACACTCACTACAATCTTACTTAGTCTAATCTCAAGCGAACAAGACCACTTTCATCACGTTATTCCTCTGTCCAGTAATTTTTAATAGTTCCCTATTATCAGCTAAATATAAAGTGTAAACATCACTAGTGATGGGTCTTCTGAAATCTGACCGCTACTTTCATAACATATTTACTATTTTTCTTTACTGTAGCATTTCTCAAACCTTTTAGTGTCAGGACCATTACAGTCCTAAAAATTACAGTCCTCCGAAGAGCTTTTGTCTATGTAGGTTGTATCTACTCATACTTACCATACTAGAAATGAAAATTGAGAAAATTTTTAAACAGAAGAATACATAAGCACACATTCCTGTCAGAGGAATGATGTCACCACACATCACATAGCCTGGGAAACTCCACTGACACTTGTGAAAGAATGAGAATGAAAAGGCAAATAACATCTTAGTATTATGAAAATATTTCTGACATCTAGCACCCCTGGCTCACTTAGAGAACACCGCTTTATCAGACCTTTCATCTCTTTACCTGTCTCCCTATTGATGATTACTGATGAGTATTATTTGTGTGTAGCCATAGCCTGGAGGCAGAAAGAAGGCTAAAAGCCACAGATTTATAAAATATCCTCCAGATTAATTAGCACGCCTGCTCTTTAATAGTCTAACCCAACCTATCAATTTTATGTTCTGCTATTACCATTTCCTTCCCCTCTTCCTCTGCACTCCCGACCAAGGTTGGAATCAGGAAAAAAAACAAATCTTTTTCTGCTTTACCATCTTTTTTTTTTTT